GGCATTTCCTTCAATGATGCCCATGCACTAATAAGCTCCCTCCTCTGAATAAATGCCCACCCCTTACAGGGTGTGGACAAAACCTGACCTAGGCCATGGCCTACCCTATAGCCTACCGGTGGTCAGATTTTTAAAAGGATAGCATTGCTGGAAACCTTTCAATGTTTTGCTAAGTACTGTCTTACCAATGACTTTCTTCTGCTGTTTTGGCAGCCACATTCTGATCAGAATTTCTTAACCTTCTGATAGAATAAGGAAATCGAGAAACAGAACTTTTGGGCAAACATCATCACATCAGCTTTCCTTTCAAATTAGTGCAACACTGGCCCTTTCTTTGGAAAAGCAAGTATTAACTTTGCAAAATGTTTACGACGGCAATGTGTGCATGTCGCGGGGTGCTCGTTGCAAATTCAATACTCTACAGCACTTGAGGGCACTTAAAAAATTGGCCTAGTGCGTAATGTTTGCATTTTCTTACCTGGATATGTATGCTCTCCAATATAACGCCATTCATTACATTTTTACACCAGCACTCCACTATACGTTACCAACTGACAGCCCGGATCATAAAGCCGCCATTTTGTCTATCCTCTGCGACCACTCAATATTGGCCATTCCTCTCCACTCCCCCTTAACCTACCGTTATGGTTGAGTGCTGTGATATTTGCAGAGTTTTGTTCCCTCAAATGTTGAAAATCGTGTTAGCGACCTCTTAGTATACCCTTTTCAGAGACAGATAATTGTACACCAGCATATTCGTTCGACTCTTACTGATTTTATTTTTATGTTCTTAAACATCTCACCACCGGTAGGCCATAGGGTAGGCCACATAGAAGGCCATGGCCTAGCCCAGGTTTTGTCCACACCCCCCCTTATGCCATAATTTCAATCAAGCACCCCCCCTTTAAAATAATCCCCCCTCCTCTTTTCACTTTTTTAGGGATACAAGGAAAAGCTGTTTCTATTGCCATTTATTTCTAGATATTTAAGCTTCAACTACAGCTGAATCAGTACAGGAGAACAATAAGCTCTCCTTTCAATTAAGCACCTTCCTCTGATAAGTGCCTCACCTTTCAGCCAAAATTTTAAAAAAATGCTGAGCATATTTTTGAGGAAATGCAGTTTTAAAACTAAATTATCACAGGAGCACTGATAATTTTTTTGAAAGACTACAGATTACATGTCTTTTGCATGGGCTCAAATTTTTTTTCACTCTTTGAAATGTTCACTTGTGCTTGGTTATTCCAAATTGTGCTTAAAATTATGGGATAAGCAGTATAAATTATTGATTTGGAATCTTGAAAACTTTTCTTTATCAATTTTAACATTTTCAACCTTCTGTTAGCCAATATCCATGGTAATTACCCAAAACTGCAATTCACCTTGAATACAAAATTATAAAATGTAAGAATGCACTTAAAAGAGCCAATGTCTGCATGGTCAGCCCAGATACATAGCAAAATCTACAAGGGTTAGACTATGTTTGATTTACCTTTACATATGGTTTACAATAACTATTCTGCTTTTCTTTGTCAGACAGAGTCAATTCCTATAGCAACATATAACCAGCTGTTAGATGCCAATCATTATACAATTACAGCTGTCAAAGATAAATCAAAAGCTGCTGCTCATCAAATGAAAATAGCAGTGAAAAATGCCAAGCAAGCAGTAAGATGTGTGCTTATTTGTATAATCAAGCTTGTCTACTTGTGACAAAAGATCCCTTGTTTTCAATCTTGGTGTAAGGTGTGTGCTTATTTTGTATAATCAAGCTTGTCCAATTGTGACAAAATATTATTTGTTTTCAATCTTGTTGTTAGGGCCCTTTGTTTTTGAACAGGTCTTGGTAATGAATCCTAACTTGTCATAAATTTATTCTCCAGCAACTTTCTCAGTATCAATTAATTACATGTGTGAGTCATTGTTCATCATTTTCTTTATCAAATGATGTCTATTTTTATTCATCTAGTTGTATTCAGCTTTGTAATTTTGGTTGCAGGAGGTAAAATACTTTGGTTTAAACATTCTCTATTCATGAAGCTTTATATTTTAAATAGTAAAGGTGTCCTTGTGTTTATTATTGTTGGGATTATTGTTGTTTAAAAATTCATACAGACATGAAGTTTTACCAAATTGTTCCTTTTCATGTTTGGTCAAAACAACTGTAATATTGAACTTTGTTAGCATATTTAAAACCATACATACAGTGCTAGCATTTCTTTTCAGAGAAAGAACAGTCTATCTCGATCTCCACACTTGTAGTGCAGAACAGTGTGTAATTTTTATTTTCAGTGAATCATTTGACTGCTCATTTGTTTGCTTTTAGGCAACTGCTTGTTGGAGTGGATACACTGAAGTTCGTCTCACAACAGCTTGAGTCTATTGATAGAATAACAGATGTTCATGTGCATTCAGAGAAGAGTTAACCCTTTGCAGCGTAACATTGATATCCTTATTTTCCATTCTCTTTTCTATGCATTTCCTCAAGACAAAGACAATGAGAACTTGTTTTGAAATCAAAGTTATTTAGGGTTGGCAGTCATTTCCTTTATTCTGATGATTTTAATGAATGGTTCAACATGATCACTGTTAGGGTCTCAAGGTTTAATACAGAGTGGTATACACTGGATGGTGATGGCTTGTTACCTTACTGTTGCCACCCAACACAAGGTATTAGTCCTGCTCAGGATAGAGGTTTCTCTTTTTATGAAATGGACAATTTTTGACAAATGATCAGTCTTAGTCATAAAACAGATTTGATTCAAAATTGATGAGCTTGCAGCTAAGAAGAAAATCAACCAAGAAACTGCTTATTTCCCCCCAAGAAAATTGTNTAACTGTAAATGTATGTAAATGTAACTTGTAAATGTATGTAAATGTAAACTTATTTATTTCATTTTTACACCTATTGATGCATTGATAGCTTTTAAAATTTAAGCAATGTGTTCTGAAGAAACATCTTATTGGTGCTAAGAAACAAATTCAAAAAATCTCCATGCCTCTTCTCTTCTGCCTTTACAATATTATCTTGACTGTTTTGTAAAAAGATATCTACAGCTGTAAATGGATAAATAGAGTTTGTAATGTATCCTTTTTTGGCCAGTAAACATAAAACACAGTTCTAGAAGAGTGAAAACCATACAGGAAGGCATGATACTGAAACGAGGTCAAAATTTACTCATTAGTGACATCCAATATAGATTTAACCACTCTAACCTTACCACAGCTTTTAGGTTCATGTTGCCCTTTTTTTCATAAACAAGTGTTTTGCTTTCTGTATGACTGACTTACACGATGATGCTTTCCTTGACCAGGAAGTCCCTAAAAATTAGTTGAAAACAAATGTACCACAGCTGATCTACTTCCTTCTTTTCACCTTTCTGATTTTCAGAATAATGTATAGCAAGGAGAAATTACTAACTGATCACTTGTTGGAGCAAAAGGAGAAAATGAAGCTAAATTAATGTATGATATCCATGCAGTTTCAAAGAACACACCTGGTTCTACCCTCCAAAATACCTTTGGATCAGATTGAAAGATTATAAGAATAAAGCTGTTTGAACACAGAAATTTTAATCACTTGCTTTTCCAGTCAAATTGTATAGAGTTAAGTATTCTTTTAAAAGTTTGGAAAGTTATATTTAAATTTTAAAGTCTGGCAAAAATTATGGAAACTGGGAATAGAGGTGTTGAAAAAATGGGAAGTTTTAAGGATTATGTTTTTCCAAAGCTGCAACAAGTGGAAATCTCTGTGAGGCCTCCCTGCCTCCACTTTTTTCTGGCAAGGGGACTCATCTCTTTTCTCTGATTTCCTTTCAGTTATTTAATCTGTGTGCCAAGCTCCATTGGTCTCGTAAACCTTGCTTTAAAAAATGGATAAGTTTCCTTAACTGGCCAGGAACCTACTCAAGGGATTTTCGATTTAAGATAGAGTAACGGTTTCTTGAGGGGGGGCTTCATAAATTTTAACTGATTTTGAAAAGGCCAGACCCATCTCCCATGGCTTCCAGGTTGTGTCTAAACATCGGGGCTAAATATATGACAACACAAAGTTTAAATCGGTCTACAATATTTATTCTACAATGGTCTGGTTCTATTTACAAGTAGTGGTAGCTTAAAATTAAGCCCTAATGAAGTGTGATTCTTCATCTTCTAATTTTGCAGTAAAACTAATCGTCCTTTCATCATATCAGACATGTCACACGCGATAGATGTGTACAAAAATGACATTAATATTTACAACAAAAGTAGAAACCTCTAAAGAACTGTTTCAATTAAACTTATATCAATCTTATACCACTAATCTCCGAAAAAAGCCTTTAGTCTTTAAAGGCAGGACACTTTGATTCACAATTTGGTTATTTTTTCCTACTTTTTGCTAAACAAGTGAAACTACTTGAACCGGCTCGCTTCAATTGAAAAAAAAATAGCAATAGAAAGAAAATCTTGGTATCCTACCATGTAATCTGTACTTTTATTTACTCATCTGATCCGCTTAAAATCTCTAAAAGAACTTGAAAAGCTTAAAAAGCAAAACTATTCCTTGTAACAAACACAGGCGATCAAAACATACCCGAGCATGCATTGGATTTAGGATCGAAACTAACCAATCATCAAATAACCAAGTTTCCTGAGAGGTCCAAGGTTTGTTTGTTCTCTCTGCAGTAAGCTTTGTGTTTTTACTTCAATGTTAGTTGTTCATTTATAAAAGAAAAAAAGATTGACATTCTTTTCTTTCAAGGAACATGTTCATTGGTTCATTTTTCTTCATTTCGATCCGGTTCAAATAATTTCGCTGCTGTCAGCACTNACCTCTTGGTCGAGCGGCTGTCTCACTAGATCATCGTCCCTGATGCTTCGCGACACTTGCTCGACTTTGGATCTCACTATTTGTGAGTAAATAACACATACAAATGCAATAAGGAAGACATTGATGCTTAAAAAGCCATAGATAGGAAAAGCCAATTTGTTGTACTGCTCCGTGTATTTCTCGTAACATTTCCCCCTGACGAGGTCGATGTCATTTATCGCTCCGCCACAGCGAAAGTCAAACCTGGATTCGCTGTTTTCGATGTCAGCGAATACAGCCAGGAACACGATACTGAACAAGATCCAAAAAACCACTGCAATGTAATGAAGTTTGCCGAAAGTTTTTGGCTCCAGATAATCCAAGATCTTGTCCATTGGTACTGCTTGTATTTATATTCTTTTCGTTAGGATGCTGATCGGTTCTCGAACTTTAATTATTACCTGCGACGACCTTGGTCTCATTTATTATACCATGATAGTGCTTTCATTTGATTGGCTTTTTGGAAACTTTCAACTGTCAACAAGACAATGGATTCTTTCTCTATGCTATTCTTATAAGGTTAAATGAGAAACAGTTGTCAGAGATGGAGACAGATGCAGATATCTACGTCATGTGGAAACAGACGCGACCTCGTTTCTTCCTACCCTCTCCTCCGTGCTCATTTCTCCCCCTTCTATATTCTCCTCTACTTCTTTCGTATTAAAGTCGCTGCGGAAGCCCTATTGAGAAACTCAGTGTAGCAGTGTAGCTTATCTCCAAGGCTTGGAAACTGCTTAACTCTGAGCTTCTGGGTGTGGACATTTTATATGGGTGGTAATTGTTTAGAAAAGGAAATTGTTACCCTTGGCTGATTCAAGTAACGATTGGTTAGGGTTTTGCATCTTATTACTTTCCAGGGTGATGTGAGTTTTCCTAGCTAAAGCGGCTTGGTGAAGAAAAACTAAGTGGAAACCCATTCACGACCATGTCGAAAAATAAAGCCCTGTTGCGCTCAATGTTCTCATCCTATCACGTTTGGGGTAGATGTCAGTGTCCAGTCCTTTGTCCGTTGGGAGGATCATGATAGGCTAGTAGAGAGCTTAAGCATCGGACGTTTTTGATTCACGGACGTCAACCGGAAGTTTAAATATGAGCTTCGCAATCAGTACGCATGTGCAGACGTTTTTGACGTGAGGTTGCAGACGTGAAAGTGGGATGTTTGCCGTGCGTGTTGTTTTGCTTTGTTTCAGGACTGTCTCAGTACAAGACTGACATCATGTCTTCATTTTCAATCGTCAAATCAAACCCGTAAGTACATTGTAGGTTTCATAAGAAAGTAGTTTTTTATCTGCACTTAAACAATAACTTTTAAAAATGGGACAAAATGTGCCTAACTTCGTGTTTGGCACAAGTTTCCGCAGGTTCTGTTACTTGGTTTTGTTTGATCGTGAATTCTTTTTTGTTTGTCGCCATTCTTTTAGTTATCCTACGAGCAGAGGTTTTTTCCAGAACAGGAAAAATACTTATATAATAGCAAGTTATCTTGCCATGTGTTTGTTTTTGTTATTAGTTGTTTTCTTTTTGTCGAGAGGTTTATGTCGTTGCCGTATTTCACGTTCAAGAAAGTGCATTAATTTCCCCGCCATTAAGCTTTTTATTTTTAGTGCTGAAATGTGATCGACTATTTTATACAGCTACTACCTACAGTAACACTCGCTTCTATCTTTTTTCTTTTATGTAGTGGGCCTATGGAATGGTCTGAACAGCACGACGTAGCACTAATGAAAGAAGTCAGAGTGCAGAATCCGTTTAAAGCAAAGAAGAAAACGAGCAACCGAGCGCAAATATGGCTGTCGATCGCAGAGGCGCTAAGTGGATTACAAGATCCGTTATTCAAGGATTCAATGACAAAAGGATCAGTGCAAGATCGTTACGTTTTGTAGTGCAGCCCCTTTATTCGATATAGCATCCGTGTAGGTGTTGAAGTCACGTGGATTCAGTAGATCATGATTCCACTGACACAGTTTGTGACCATGTATATCGTAAATATAATTCATCACCGTATTTGATATCATGCTAAGTTCAGGAACCGGTCGGCCGAATCGTGCGAGCATGTCGCTATATCGGCAAGGAAACGACATTCGCCTGAGCAAAATACATAGCCCCTCTAACTTGTCGGCAGTGGTTCTCTGATTACAGTGGAAGGTGTCCGGTAGTCGAAGCGCATCAGCCAGCAGTGGAAGGTCCTTTTTTTCAACTCTAAACTCGGACTTGCACTCAGGTTCCTCGATACTCTCGATACTAAACCTCGCGTATTTTTCGTACGAAAACTCAGGGTTTTTTGACGAATTCTCTTTCAGTAATAGCAACAGTTCCTCATCTGACACCAGTCCTTGGTCATGAGCGATTAAAAGTGATTTTCTCACATCC